CTCTCTCCCTCTCTCTCTCTCTCTTCTTAAGAGTAGAGAGATTGCAGAGAAAGGGATTATAAAAGAGTACACTTTCGATGTCTATTCTCAGTGTGTGCCTGCTTACTCTTTTGTAATCCCTTTCTCTGCAATCTCTCTACTCTTAAGAAGAGAGAGAGAGAGAGGGAGAGAGGGAGGAAGGGAGAGAGAGAGATAAAAGAGCATATATAGTTGGACGTGGAATCTCTCTCTCTCACTTCTTAAGAGTGGAGAGATTGCAGAGAAAGGGATAAAAGAGTAAACTGGCACACACTTTCGATGTCTATTCTCAGTGTGTGCCTATTTACTCTTTTGTAATCCCTTTCTCTGCAATCTCTCTACTCTTAAGGAGAGGAGGGAGGGAGGGAGAGAGAGAAGAGCAGGTATAGTTGGACGGGGAATCTCTCTCTCACTTCTTAAGAGAGGAGAGATTGCAGAGAAAGGGATTATAAAAGAGTAAGCAGGCACACAGTGGGAATAGACGTCAAAAGTGTGTCCCTGCTTACTCTTTTATAATCCCTTTCTCTGCAATCTCTCTACTCTTTAAGAAGTGTGTTTGTGTGTTTCTTCCTGTGTGTTTGTGTGAGAGAGAGGGGGGGAAGAGGGAGAGAGAGAGAGAAAAGAACAGGTATGGTTGGCCAGGGAATTCTGGGAGTTGAAGTCCATACCAGAATTGGGTTGCAAATTCCGGTGCTACCCGTTCGCTCGCGTGCCTGCAATGCTTCTGCGCAGAAGCGTCCGGGGTGGGCGACCAGAGCCTCCCGCCGCCACCACTACCAGTTCACCCGATCTGGGCCAAACCGGGAGCAACCCCCCCTCTGGTCCAGACACCTTAAAAGTTGAAACCCAAAGGAACAGACCCGCCTTCTTTCAGGCAAAGCCCCACCCCTTTTTTCATGATGGAGCGTTTTTTTATCAGGACCTAGAATTTTTTTTAAAAAAATCAGTCATAAATTGAGGCATTGCAAAAGGCCGCAAAGGCGGGGCTGGTTGCCAAGACGTCCCAAGGAGGGCCAGACCCAAAACAAGGCGTAGGGAGGTCCGTTGTAACTTCGATCGGCCGTTAAGTGAACAGTCGTAGCCTGTAGCCCGGGATGGAAAGGATCCGGGAATAACGATTTTCAGGACGATCCATTTTTTCGGCTGGGACAAACAGGCCCTTCAACTCAGGGGGGGGGAGTCATTAAAATTGGGAGGAGGGGGGGTGTCTAACCACTGCATCCCTCCGTCAATTCAACCTCTTTCCCCTTCCCCATTTATGGGCATCTGTTTGAGGGGAGCAATTGAATGGCACCCATCTTTTCAGCCGTCTCCCACCTGCTCAAGGCCAGGAACTGGAGGTGGATCTCGTGGTCGGGCAAGGGGTCGCCTTCTTCCCGCTGGGGGCTGCAGGGGGCGTGGTCGTTGGGGTCCAGCATCTCAACCGGCTCCTTGTTGCAATCCAGAAGCTCCGGGAATCCAGCTGCGCGCAGGCGGGCGAGAGAGGCCCGAGTGGGGGCGGTGTTGGGGCTGTGGAAAAGGACAGGATTCTGAATCCTTTTTTTTTTCCCTTTCTTTCTTTCTTCCTCCTTCCCTTTTTCCTTCCTTCCTTCCCACTATGCGTTCTCCCTCCCTTCCTCAGTCGCTTTTGTCTTTCTTCTTTCCTTTCTTCCTTCTTTCATTTTCCTCCCTCTGTCCCTCCCATTTTCCTTTCTTCCTTTTTCCCCCCTCGTCCCTCCTTCCCTCACTGTCCTCTTTCTATCTTCCCTTTCACCTTCCTTCCTTCCTCCCTCTTTTCTTTTTTCATTTTTTCCTTCCTCACTGTCCCTCCCATTTTCCTTCCTTCCTTCCCGTCCCTCCTTCCTTCACACTGTCTTCCTTCTATCCTCCCTCTTTCACCTTCCTTCCTTTTTTTCATTTTTCCTTCCTCCCGCCTCCCTCCGTCCCTCCCATTTTCCTTCCTTCCTTTCCGTCCCTCCTTCCTTCACACTGTCTTCCTTCTATCCTCCCTCTTTCACCTTCCTTCCTTTTTTTCATTTTTCCTTCCTCCCGCCTCCCTCCGTCCCTCCCATTTTCCTTCCTTCCTTTCATCCCCCCTTGTCCCTCCTTCCCTCACTGTTTTCCTTCCATCCTCCCTCTTTCGCCTTCCTTCCTTTTCTTTTTTCATTTTTCCTCCCTCCCATTTTCCTTCCTTCATTCCTGTCCTTCCTTCCTTCACAGTCTTCCTTCCATCCTCCCTCTTTCGCCTTCCTTCCTT